CAGGCAGGGGCTCTGCAGGGGCCTGTGGCCTCTTAAACCACTGCGGAGAAACGGAGGGGGGCGGGGCGGAGGGCGCCCGCTGACCCTCTGTCCAAGGTTTACTTTAGGGTCTCCGCAGCCTGAGCCTGGCCCCCCTCTTTTCTCCGCACCCCAGGCCCTTCCCCTCTACGTATTTGATGCAGCCCACTGTCACCTCCAGGGGCCTCATCCATCCCCTTCTCCCCTCCGCAGGGCTTTCATCGGATCCCACAGCTCTGTCTGGCAGGGTTCTAGTCATCCCCCACACGGAAGGGACCAGGCTCGCCTCCACTCGCAATTCTCTGCACCTCTGAACAGCCCCTCACCTTTCTTTGGCCCTAGTCCTGCCCTTTCCCCAAGGTCCAGGCCCCTGACCCTCCCTTCCTTTAGGAACCCCAAACCCCACCTCTCCTCATCCGTACAGCCTCCCCTTTTGCAGACTTGACACTTCACTTCCTTCCACCTTCAGGGCCCCAACACCTCCCTCCACTTTGTGGTTCCGCCCCTGCCCTGTCCTCTTGGGTCAGGGCCTCACCCAGCCTTCTCGCTTTTCTGGGGCACAGACATTGGCACCCAGGTCCTTAAACCCTGGCTCCTTGCCCCCCACTAACTGATGCCCCCATCCCCTCCTAAGAGCTCAGACCTGACCGAGTTCCAGACACTGGGCCAAGCACTGTTTTTGCGGCTAGGCTTTCTGTCTACTCATCTAATGTAATCCTCACAATAATCCCGTAAAAACTTGAGGTTTGGGAAGCTTAATTGCTTTGCCCAAGTCAGGCAGAGGGAAAGCTGGATTCAAACCCAAGACTTTACTGTTAGCCGCCTCATGATTCTGCCTCCCCACCCGCCTTCCCCACTTCCCCTTCCCTCAGCTCCAGGCCCACCTCCAAACCCTCTGAGATACAGAGGGTGAGTGATCTCAGTTCTCCTCGCTCACCTGAGCCCAGAGATTGACATGGGGAACAGGAGGGGGGGTGGTCTAGAGCCGTGGTTGGCAAACCGCGGCTTGCGAGCCACATGCGGCTCTTTGGCCCCTTGAGTGTGGCTCTTCCACAAAATACCGACTCTGTGCATG